TTGAACGTTTTGATATATGAATAGTTGAAATAGCACAAAAATTGTGGAACGAGTTAGATGCTGAAAAATGATCTCAATAGTGTGAGTGGTTGTGAAGCGTTTACACAACGAGCAACAACAACCACATTAGGTTGGATATTTGAGCATCGTTTATTTTACCTGCAGAGGTAAAATTGGACTAAGCGTGTAAATATCAGGGTCTGTTCCGACAAAGTTGACAGAGGAGAAATGAAGCTTTGGGCGTAGGCAGGTGGTGAGGCCGACGCCGGGCAGAGAGTGGGCCTTCTTGGTGTCGGGGTACAGCTTGATGCTGAGCGTCTCCTCCGTCATGGGCACGATGAACTCCCTGTTGGTGCCCAGGCGCGCCCGTTTGGCTGACTCCAGGTGGATGCTGATGAGCAGGTCGTAGTAGCCGCTGCGGAGGGGCCCGGGGAGGTAGGTGTTCTCGGTGGCGTAGAAGAGCTGCGATTCGTCCACGTGGCTGCACAGAGCGTGGGCGACCCTGTTGTTGCCGAGCGCGCACACGGCGCAGTACAGCATGAGCGTGTGGTAGTGGAACTTCATGAGGTCGAGACGCTCCGACAGCTCCAGGACATCAATGCACCTGGAGGAGGAAAGACGAGGTCATGCACCTCTGAATTATTTTAACTTCACAAAGGCTGCAGGCGCCGTGCACTGTCCAAATCCTTTGTCTGTCAAGCTTTGCTCTACTATTTACAACATTTTTACAAGTTAGAAAGTGTCCTGCCACATGTCCTTTTGAACAATATTACAACAACATAGCATCAAGTATAAACACCTACAGCACTGGTGACTGTAAAGAGGGACTATAGCTTTTAGATAGCCATGTGATACTTTTAGCATGTGGCTAGCCCTGTGATACTTTTAGCCTTTAGCTAGCATGTGACACTTTTAGCTAGCATGTGATACTTTTAGCCTTTAGCTAGCATGTGATACTTTTAGCCTTTAGCTAGCATGTGATACTTTTAACTTTTAGCTAGCCTTGCGATACTTTAACCTTTATCTAGCCTTGTGATACTTTTAGCATTTAGCTAGCACTGTGATACTTTTAGCCTTTAGCTAGCCTTGTGATACTTTTGTAGCCTTGTGACACGTTTAGCTAGACTTGTGATACTTTTAGCCTTTAGCTAGCCTTGTGATACTTTTAACTAGCCTTGTGACACGTTTAGCTGGCCTTGTGATATTTTTAACTTTTAGCTAGCCTTGTGATACTTTTAGCCTTTGGCTAGCGTTGTGATACTTTTAACCTTTAATCACAGTAATAGCTTTGAAACAACTGACTGTTGGTTTTGATTGTATTTTAGGCCCATGTAAGGAACTCAACCTGTGGACTGTGGTAACATGTAGGGCTGTGTATTGGCAAGAATTCGTACATACGATACATATCATGACAAAGGTGTTGCGATACTGTAAGCAAGGCGATATATTGCCATTTTTTGTCCAAAAATTATATATATAAGAAAAAAAAAACAATATGTTTTACATATGAGATTTATTTGTTTCATATTTTTTTTTATTTCATCCATGTTTTCAATTATTAGACTAAATGTGCCATTAAATAGTTTCATATATATTTATGGCAGCTTTTAGATTTATAATTGTATAAAAGGATCGGACATTTTCTGTTATTTCTCTTCATGTTCTATAACATCGTTTAGTTGCTATCACAGGAAGTGATGTAGGAATAAGTTTTATGTGCTGCACTGCTACGCTAGAGGGAGATCTAGTATAATATAAAACTGAACCTTTGGCATGAAAATGTACATTTTAAACCTTCATTAAAAATTGATACAGGGCTTTAGAGAATCAATACAATATCTGGAAATGAAATATTGCGATATTTCAATRTATCGATATTTTTTACAGCCCTAATACCATGTAAAGTRCAGAACCGGACTCGGGATCTGACCTGTTCTCCTCAGGGATGTGCAGAGCCATCATGATGAGAGGTTCCACACACTCCACCATCCAGCCCAGCCTCTCGCTCATTTTGCCCACCTCCGGTTTCAGGAAGTTATTGGGCATGCGGCTCCAAATGACCGGGGTCAGCATCTGGACATCCAACCTGGGGGGGCACTGGGGGACGGGATTCTTTCTCTCGCTGCGGAACATGGCCGCTGAGATTGGCATGATGTTCTGCTCAGAACGGGACAGCAGAAGGAAAGTTTTCATTGAGAAAAGAAATCATTTTAGAGTCCCAAAATGTTTTGAACAAAATGTATTTCATATTTTCTGACCTTGAGTTTCCCCAGCTCCAGCTGAGCCATGTTCTGGTTGGTGGGCTGAATGAAGACCGCAGGGAACAGTTTGGTGTTGGGTTCCACCTGAAACAAAATAACACACAATAAACTTGCATTTTAATGTGGACATGTGGC